TGACACAAGGCAATGGTTCTTTGATGATTTTAACGCTTGGTTCCGTGATCCTGGAGACTCCCGAGCTTATGTTCTACTTGGCGACCCAGGAGTCGGTAAAAGTGTCATAGCCGGAGCCCTGGCACAGCGAATGAGAGAGACTGGACAGTTAGGTGCAGCATACTTTTGCCGTCACGACGATGGTACCAGAAACGATCCCAGGTATCTCCTTGGAACTGTTGCCCATCAATTGTGTGCTTGTAATGATAAGTACAAAGAAATCGTAGGGGGAGAGGATGGGGTAAAAATGCTGCTAGGTAATTCTAAACTCGGCGTAAGGGAACTGTTTACAAAACTGCTACATGAACCGTTAAGTGAGAGTAGGCCTTGCCATCAGAAATTTTTAGTCATTATTGACGCCTTGGATGAGACAGACTACAAGTCCAGGGAAGATTTTCTTGATCTTATTCAACACCGTTTCCCCCTGCTGCCCGAATGGCTTGTGTTCTTCGTCACCAGTCGCCCTGAATATTCTGTTCAACCCAGACTGGAGGGATACAAGCCCTGTATTAAAATTTGCGCCGGTAACAGCGAGCAGCAGGAATTTTATCAGCAGCATAAGCAAGATATCCAAAACTTTTTGAAAAAGAGGATTGATTTCTCTTGTATTACTATCTCGGTCGACGATGTCTCCCAAAAATGTGACGGATTGTTCTTGTACGCACATTACATCGTGAAAGAATTGAAAGAAGTTATTGTCCCTGGTAAGAAAATCATTGATTTAAACGATCTTTTCCCGGGAGACATTAAGGAATTTTTTCGAAAGAATTTTCGACGCGTCTATGTTAACGTAGGAGAGAATATCTTCAAGAAGCTGTTCGGATGTGCCGTCGTAGCCCCATCTCCGCTTCCTGTCTCGGTTATTTCGTTCCTCCTAACCAAGGAAAACTCAAGTCTTGAAGAGCAACAAGTGATCGATGCTGTATCGCAATTTTTGGTAATACGAACTTCTGATCATACTCTAAGTTTCTTGCACAATCTGATCCCAGCCTGGTTGACAAACGACACTAAGGCTCCACGCAAATTATTCATCAGTAAGAAGACTGCAGGTGAGTATCTTAAAAAAGTCGTTGTTGAAATTCTCTCCTCAATTGTCCAAGAATCATCATCACCTTGCACATCCATTGACGCTAAGCTGGAGGATTATGTGATACGCGTGTCGGTTTGCTTCTTGTGTCACTTTGGAGGAAAAGATTGGCTGGAACTAGTGTTTACATGTTTGACAAATTATCATTTCGTAGAGAGGAGATTGCGCTCGGGAAAAATCGAGATATATCGTCTGGTTCAAGATTTGAAGCGTGTTAGCGGCTGCCTGAATGGCGATGACGAAAAGAAACAAGATCTCCTTCAAGATGTTGCGCAGGTACTTTTATCAAATACTTTTATTCTTGCCGAATGCCCACAACTTTTGCACTCCTGTTTACGAAAGGCCTCCAACGCCGTTCAAGAAACTTTTCTGCTTAACAAATTGCCAGTCCCTAGGTTAGAATGCACGGTTTTTGCTTTCCCACACCCTGCAATCACTGATATGAATTGTTTTGCCGCATCATCTGATGAGAGGACAATTGTTGGGGCAGCGGGTCGGACAGTTATGTTTTTCGATGCACGTACAGCAGGAGGAGTAAATGGCCCTTTCGAGATAAGCAAACAGAGCATTGACAATATCAGTCACTTGGAGTATTCTCCTGACAACCAGTTCATTTTTTTTGGTCGGCTTGATAAGTGGTTCTCTGTTGAGCGAAAATGTATTGAGGATTTTCTTCAGTTTAATGGGAATGCAACGGTTTACCGGTGGGGCTTCCTTACTCGTGATGGAGAGTCCATTGTAGTTAAAAGAAACGTAGAGAATTTTGCATGCCATTGGTCAGAAAATGCTTGTCTTTGCAACTTACTTGCTCTTTGGGCTGTTAAGGAGATTGAAGTGAGCCGTGACGATGTTATGAATCTTCATGAGGAATTAGCAGTTGAAGGACCAATGAACTGCCTGCTAAAATGTCTCTCATACAAGAAATACCCAGCTGAGACTCATGTGGGGCCAAAATCTCTGCTAGAAGGGTGCCATTTTTGCAAAAAATTAAGTTCACTTGTAGACAAAGGGTACCAAGAGGCGTCCCTAATAGCGGTTCGTCAAAAAATCCTAGAGATATACCCATTTATTTTCCAATGCCAGATTTGGGATCTTAAGATGGGAAGGCCTGTGTTGGAACGTGCGTTTATTTCGAATGATCAGTTAGAGCCGTTTACTTACATCTGTCATGTCTCGTATTTTGTAAACAGATGGGCAATGGAGATAGCGTTCTCTGATTTTTCAGTTTGTAACATTGCCATAATAACAGCAATTCGATACCTAGAGGGAAGTTTGGGCCACAGACTTCAGTGGGAACCACCAGTAGATTTAAAGCCACCAGGGATTCCACACCTCAGTGTAGAACGTACCGTAAAAGTGGAGGAGTTACTTGAGAATCTGCTGGAGAGATACATGGTTCTGGGGTTGACTGGAGAGCTAAGGCGGAAAGTGAACGTTAACCTTGAAACTGTATTGAAACGAATCAAGGAGCTTGAGGATTCAGGAAACCTCCAGAAACAGAGAGACCTGGAGCAAGAAGAAGAGCTAGAGCACAATCTAATACAGGAGCTAAAGAGTACATTAATGCTAATACAGAGAAGACATGTAAGAAATGATGAAGGGGAAGAACTAGAGATGTTACAAAGGAGTTATTTAAAAAAAATGATTGCGCTGAAGAAAATGCGAAGGATGAAGCTTGAGCGGACAAGTGGACTTGAACTAGAGTGCGATTTGAAGGATGAGATAGTTTTCCTACTACGTTCGAAGAGGATTTTGAATCTCGATGTGGTGTTTATACGAGAATGTATCGCGCAGCGCTTGGAACCAAAGTTAAAGGAAGAGCTGGAGATGTTAATTGAACGAGAGCGCGTGCTGGAGCATGAATTGATTGGGAGAAACCAGGGTATCGAAATTGACCAACAGGAATTGAATCTAAAACAAGGGCTGAAGTTGCCAGTTGATCAAGTGCATAAATTGCAGAATAGGTTAGCTTGTTTAGAAGAACTAGAACGGATTCTCGAGAGACACCGAGGACAGGAGCTCGATCAAGAGGATTCGAATTTGAAACAGAAGATGAAGTTCCTACCTGAACGAGAGAGCGGGTCACAACACGAAATGGAGGCCAGAGATTACCAATTGCTGAAGTTTGTAATCGACCAAGAACCTAGATGGAAGGGACAGCTGCAGGAGCGCGAAGAGAGCCCATTTGCTTCTCTACATAAACTCCACCCAGTTGCTTTTCCACATGAACGCGACCGTGAGTTCGAGAAATTAGGGTCCTTTAAACATGAGCATGAGCTGACAAGTACTGAATATGGGTGGTTGAGGCAGCGATTCCATGAGCTCATACAGCCTGAAGTAAATCCAACAACTGAGGAGGAGCTTGAGGGTTTACTTACGAAAGAGCAAGAGCTCTTGAGAAGGGAAATCGGAGAAAAAGCTTGAGACCTCAAACAAGAGAAAGCAAAAGCTCATACATCAGATGGAGACGGAACTAAATAGAAAGAGATACCATGAGGTCAAAGGTGCGAAACGTTGGACGGCATGGGTGGAGAATGAGCTTATGCTTAAAGGTAGAGAAAATTGGATGATGAAAAAATGCCGCAGGCTTAGGCTGAATCTGTTGGCAAAAAAATTAAAAAAGCAACTAGAGCAAGTGCTTAATCATGAGTGGTATCGATCCCGAGAACTATCTTATAGCTTGGAGAGGCTAGAGTATAAGGGCATTGGAGTATGGGAGCCGTATCTCAGAGTACTGAAGGAAGAAAAGATGGAGATGGACCCTCATTTGGTGAGAGAATTCCAACACGGATCATTTGAGTGTGAGGATTGCACAAAGTTTTCAGAATGGCCTCACGATGTCGAGAGTATCGTCAACGGACATATTCTCATATGCCATTCACCAGGAGGAAAATGGGTTCTAGAGGCCGATGGTTTTCGAAACAAACATATTTTGCGAAGAAGAAATCGAGAGCTCTCGTGTGACCATGAAACGCCACAACGTGATATTGAAAAATTCACGCGCTTCTCATTTACAAAGGATGACTCCTATTTCGTTTATTTGACCGATAATGGTTTTCTGCACGCTTTGTCTCTCGAGACAGGTGCAGTTTTAGCCAGTGTGCCCAACAATCACATTATTTATTACACAAGGCANTAAATAGCGCTCTCTACTGCGAGGATCGTGCATCATACGTATCTAATACCGCAGTTCAAATATATGAACTTCATATATTCATTGTATCTGATCTCAACTTTTGATAGTTGGCGCGCATGCGCAGTTCATGTGCCGTAATTTGTTTCTTTATTTGATTTTTACCTGAGCAATTCTGAAAAGTCTACTTTACATACTAGCAATGAAACAAATGTTTTCGAAGGTAATATTACGAGATACATTAACTATGGACTTAGATAGTCTTTATGTTGTATACTTTTTTATAAATCATGTACTTCATGACAGAATGCTTTCTTAGGAGTATACTACTCAATTTCCAGGTTGCAGTAGGTTCATGGCAGAAGTAAAAGTTGCCTTACTAGCAAATTTGTCTCAGTTATATTTGTCTCTTTAAAAGTTCCACGGCGTAACCTTCAATTTTTGTTATTGTTTTTTTCATGATTTCAAAGCTCCTTCATCTATATATATTTTCCTGCTGATATTGATTGGGAAGGTTTCCTTTTTTGGACATTATTCGTGATACTTACATAACTAAGAATCATGAGCAGAGAAAAATTGAACACTGCACTCCTTTCATTTCCTTCCCAAAATCGAAGCTTCCACTTTCCCCTTCAGGCACTTCCTTCTGCTATATCCGTGTTCAAAGACAATTCTGACGAGATAATCATTAGACCACAGAACACTCCTGCATGGCGTCCA